CAACCGATTGTGAAACTCAGTTGCTATGGCCGCCGAAAGGACAAGTGAAATAAAATGCATTTTCAACATTTCATTAAGGAAAATATGTTTTACGCCTTAACAGTTTTCTTTTATGTACTTATGATAATTAAAGCACGGTTGTTTTTTTCAGAATTTATCAATTCCGCTATAATTATATTTGTTAAGATCCTTTTTCAACTTCTTTGGAAATAGTTTGCATGCTCAATAAAAAACTGTCGACTCCCAAAAATACGCTAAATTCAAAACCCATTCAGTCACACCTGTATTAATAAATAAACGAGTATTTCAATGAAGTAAGGACTTAACAGTAAAAATACTATTAAAAGTTCTTATTTCATTAAAATCTCTCGACTAATGGTTAAAAATATAAGTTATGCCATTTTTTCAAGAAGTTTCTTCTCTTGACTATAGATACGAGTTTGGTTTTAAATTGACGATTTTGGCTAGATCGAATAGAGCTTATGTTTACTCCCATGTTAACAAGCATGAATGCCAACTAAGTAGGTAGTGTCGCTAGTATTCCATCGACTTAGTTCACTGGCAGATAGAACATTTGTCCATGGATCACTCGCTTCAAGATGCGTTTCCACTAAAGGAAAATTGCCAACTAATGTTAATATCATGAAAGTTGGTTATTTTTCTTTGTAAGAGACGCCTTAACACATTCGTAGTTCAAAACGTATTCGGAATACCTAATTTATCACCATCTGGCAGATAGAATATTCGTCCATGGATCACTCGCTTCAAGATGCGTTTCCACTAAAGAAAAATTGCCAACTAGTGTTAAATACTATGAAAGTTGGCTGTTTTTCTTTGTCAGAGACACCTTAACACAAATCCCTAATTCAACTCGTATTCGGAATACCTAATTTATCACCATCTGGCAGATAGAACATTCGTCCATGGATCACTCGCTTCAAGATGCGTTTCCACTAAAGAGAAATTGCCAACTAGTGTTAATACCATGAAAGTTGGTTATTTTTCTTTGCAAGAGACGCCTTAACACAAATTCCTAGTTCAACTGGTATTCGGAATACCTAATTTATCACCATCTGGCAAATAGAACATTCGTCCATGGATCACTCGCTTCAAGGTGCGTTTCCACTAAAAAAAAAATTCCAACTAGTGTTAATACCATGAAAGTTGGCTGTTTTTCTTTGTCAGAGACGCCTTTACACAAATTCCTAGTTCAACTCGTATTCGGAATACCTTATTTATCACCATCTGGCAGATAAAACATTCTTCTATGGATCACTGGCTTCAAGATGGTTTCCACTAAAGAAAAATTGCCAACTAGTGTTAATACACCATGAAAGTTGGCTGTTTTTCTTTGTCAGAGACGCTTTAACACAAATTACTAGTTCAACTCGTATTTGGTATTCCTAATTTATCACCATTTGCCCTTATATGTCTTCTACGTTACAAACCTTCCTCGTGGAAAGAAAAGATGCATTAGTAAATCTGCAAATACAGCCGGGAACAGAGTAGAAGTAAGGAGGAGAGTTCAAAATAATACATTTGTTTACCCATCCGATGACCAACCACTGCGGAGGTTATGCAAGCTTCGCAATCTTGCATAACCTCCGTAATCAGACCAAACGCACTTACCCCTGCGCAATCAAGCTCCTCTTAAAATTCTGTGAAAAGTAACTTCATGGTCTAATGAAGTCACTTTCCAATAAGACCTCTTTATGTGAAATAAAACAGAGTAAAAAGCAGCCCTTGCTGAGTTTCTTGCCGGTTCTTCTCAGTACAAGATCTCCCGCCATGGTTTTGCGAACCGATGGCGTAGTTTTCGACTTTCACAAGTGCTATGTATAAGCCTAGACTGAATAAACGACTTTGATTTGATTTGATACTACCCTGTTATAAAAAATATGTTAGTACTTACATGATGAAGTTGTAAAAATAGTTTCCAACCAAAGGTCTTCAAAAATAATCGGAGGAGGATGTCTTTTATTATTTATTTTATGATAACTTGAAAATTAAAGAAAAACACTCAGAAAATTTAGAATTTTGTAAAATTTTCGTTTTTTTTTTCACAAAATTAAATACATCTAAACTGATCGAAGTCTAAAAATCTTCTGTCAGTCATTGTTCTTTTTGATCGCTTCGTTTTTTTTAAATTCCTAGTTTGAAATCATTATTTGGTGCCAGTATTTCTTAATTTCACCACAGGACAATAAAGCTGGACATAGAAGGCACTACAAAATGAAGAGGAATACAAAACAATATATAATGATTATAGAAACTAAATATTTTTATTATTTACTGTTAAGTAGGTGTTTCTTTTTTTCTTTTAGAACTTGGTTATTTTTTTGACATTCGTGTGCTAAAATTCTTTTTCTTCTTCATTTGTTTGTTACTTGCTTAGCTGGTCTTCATTCTACATATAGAGCTCAATGCTTCGGCATGAGGATTTACGAGATGCCTAATACAAGCTACCCTTGCTGGTTGGCAAAGAGGTGCTGGTAATTTCTCACAACAAGGCGACGATTGGCAACCTGTACGGCGACAGTCATACTGAAGACCGTTCCGTCTAAGGCAATGGCAGTCCGTGTACAAAATGCTTCCTTTAAGCTCTCGGCTTTTACATGCTTTTAAAGCGTTGGAAGACACGCAACAGCAATTTTTTCCCATATCGAAATTTTTCTGAAAGTAGATTTGATAATATTAATATTTAAACGAGTAGTTTCCTCATGTACTTTTGATCAATAGAGACGTAAGGTTATAATTAGATTTATACTAATATAATAAAGAGGAAATGTTTTATTGTATGTTTATACATCATGTGCCGTTGATATAGGCTATTATTTACGACATTTACGATATTGTCTATTTTCATCTAATAAAGTATCAGTAAAGAACAACTATATCGTTTATTGAGATATAAAATATGAATGGTACATACCTCTTTTTAATTGATTATTTATAATTAATAGCAAATATCACTGATAATTTTGATATGTTTATTTCCTAGAAAATTTATTCAACTGATTTTATACAATTCTAGATGGTTATGGAGTAATGCTTTATTTCCATTTATGAACGTAGATATTTTTTTTCAATCGAGTAGGTTCCTTGGTTTAAATGCAGCACTAAACTATTGTCCAATAAGTCAACATGATCTGAACTTAACCATAAATTAACTGATGATTGCAGAACCCCACTTTAAGGTAAAGCAATACGGGCAATTGCAAGAAACGAATAGCTGGTATTCCGGCATTACATAAACATCATCATCACTAATGTATTGATGTCCGCCACTGCTTAGGTTTGTGTTCGTGTAAAGTACAGCGAATAGTATTTTTAATTCTAAACGGCTAAATAGCTAGACCGAGCTAACATAATTAAAAAATAATTAAAAAAAATAGTTCTCTCTCTAAGGTCATAGAGATTTCAACAATATATTTAACTGTAGCAGCCCGTCTAACATACAAACTTATGTATATATCTATTGCAAATACTTATTTTTTTCTTTTTTTTTTGGTAAAAATTTGAAGAAATATAATGGTTCTGACTTATATGTCTGTTAATGTTAGCAGGAGCTAAAATATTACTAGTTCAGGTTACAAAAGAAGATTCCGCCGCTGTTATTGCGATTACTCTAAAATTACACATTTTCATTCAGTTTTCACCAACCAATTGAATTGATTTTGAACAATTCAATTGGTTTATAAAAGCTGTATGAAAATTAATTCAATAGTTTTAAGCATTCAGACAAACAGACAGACAGATTACTTGGACAGCTGGTTTTACGATATACTTAGATTTTATATATTTTAGCTCCTAATAAAAAGCGTCCGTTATAGGTCTATATATTTCTTAAACTATTATTTACTTTGATTTTGAGCCATTATCCATTTTTGTCGCCTATGAAAGAATATATTCATAAAAATGTTAAATAAATATAACAGAACATCTTAAAACAAATATCTTTAATAGATTTATATAAAAATGAATAGCCAAATTGTATGTACGCGCATAGCTTCCGAACGACTGCGCCAAATAGGATGCTTCCATTTTTTGTGTGTTCTTTTTTGGCGGAAAACTTGTTTGTTTGAAAGAAAATTAATAAAAATATATATAAAGATTTTATCAGAATTAATGTTTACTATCTAATACAAAAAATGATTGACTGAAGCTGACAGATCGTTGAAGAAATAATGAACATTTGCCACATTATCAGTATGGTGACATTTCAAATTAATATTGTGAAATTATTGTTAGTCCAACTGATTTGATTTAATCGGAATGTTTAAATTGCTTCAGTGACTGGAGTTTTAAATAAAAATTAATATGAATACTCTATGGATAAGATACGATTTTTATTTTCAACTTATGTTGAATGGTATCTTTTTATTTTGCTAATAGTTGTTTTATGGCTACTATAAACTTCTTTGCGGAATAAAAATAAAACTGGCTGTTTTCTTTTCATTTTAAAATTTCAATTTCTCTTTTTTCTACATTTGAACCACATCAGAGGTGTTCTGTAAAAGCTAAATACAGTAGAAGGTCAGTACAATTAAATCCTTTGCGTGAAATACAATAATAATATAAAAAAGCTTCAAAAAAATACTAACCTATCAACGTACCTACATTTTCCACTAAAAACCCTATTCTTCGAATTTTTTTGACTCTTACGTACTCCTAAACTCAGAAATCAAAATGTAAGTTGGATCAAAAAGTAAGGCACCTGCCTTACTCCTATACGGAAATTTAATACCATGTACTATTCTGAACGTAATATCTTTTTACAGGTGCGGACCTTGCGGTGGATGTTGCGGCGGATGCTGCGGTGGCTGCTGTTGCCCCTGCATTACTATCTACACCTGCTGCACCAAGATCTGCTAGCGCTGTTATAGTCCAGAAATGGCTACTATTTTCCTTGGGTTCTTCATGAATCCACTTCGTCGTTCGTCTTCGAAGTTCAGTGCTGTTTTTGTGGAAAAATAAATAATTTAAGCGTACATTGGCTTTTATTTGAGTATGCGATGGGTGTCTGGAGTCTTGAGTATGCGATGGGTGTCTGGAGTCTTGAGTATGCGATGGGTGTCTGGAGTCTTGAGTATGCGATGGGTGTCTGGAGTCTTGAGTATGCGATGGGTGTCTGGAGTCTTGAGTATGCGATGGGTGTCTGGAGTCTTGAGTATGCGATGGGTGTCTGGAGTCTTGAGTATGCGATGGGTGTCTGGAGTCTTGAGTATGCGATGGGTGTCTGGAGTCTTGAGTATGCGATGGGTGTCTGGAGTCTTGAGTATGCGATGGGTGTCTGGAGTCTTGAGTATGCGATGGGTGTCTGGAGTCTTGAGTATGCGATGGGTGTCTGGAGTCTTGAGTATGCGATGGGTGTCTGGAGTCTTGAGTATGCGATGGGTGTCTGGAGTCTTGAGTATGCGATGGGTGTCTGGAGTCTTGAGTATGCGATGGGTGTCTGGAGTCTTGAGTATGCGATGGGTGTCTGGAGTCTTGAGTATGCGATGGGTGTCTGGAGTCTTGAGTATGCGATGGGTGTCTGGAGTCTTGAGTATGCGATGGGTGTCTGGAGTCTTGAGTATGCGATGGGTGTCTGGAGTCTTGAGTATGCGATGGGTGTCTGGAGTCTTGAGTATGCGATGGGTGTCTGGAGTCTTGAGTATGCGATGGGTGTCTGGAGTCTTGAGTATGCGATGGGTGTCTGGAGTCTTGAGTATGCGATGGGTGTCTGGAGTCTTGAGTATGCGATGGGTGTCTGGAGTCTTGAGTATGCGATGGGTGTCTGGAGTCTTGAGTATGCGATGGGTGTCTGGAGTCTTGAGTATGCGATGGGTGTCTGGAGTCTTGAGTATGCGATGGGTGTCTGGAGTCTTGAGTATGCGATGGGTGTCTGGAGTCTTGAGTATGCGATGGGTGTCTGGAGTCTTGAGTATGCGATGGGTGTCTGGAGTCTTGAGTATGCGATGGGTGTCTGGAGTCTTGAGTATGCGATGGGTGTCTGGAGTCTTGAGTATGCGATGGGTGTCTGGAGTCTTGAGTATGCGATGGGTGTCTGGAGTCTTGAGTATGCGATGGGTGTCTGGAGTCTTGAGTATGCGATGGGTGTCTGGAGTCTTGAGTATGCGATGGGTGTCTGGAGTCTTGAGTATGCGATGGGTGTCTGGAGTCTTGAGTATGCGATGGGTGTCTGGAGTCTTGAGTATGCGATGGGTGTCTGGAGTCTTGAGTATGCGATGGGTGTCTGGAGTCTTGAGTATGCGATGGGTGTCTGGAGTCTTGAGTATGCGATGGGTGTCTGGAGTCTTGAGTATGCGATGGGTGTCTGGAGTCTTGAGTATGCGATGGGTGTCTGGAGTCTTGAGTATGCGATGGGTGTCTGGAGTCTTGAGTATGCGATGGGTGTCTGGAGTCTTGAGTATGCGATGGGTGTCTGGAGTCTTGAGTATGCGATGGGTGTCTGGAGTCTTGAGTATGCGATGGGTGTCTGGAGTCTTGAGTATGCGATGGGTGTCTGGAGTCTTGAGTATGCGATGGGTGTCTGGAGTCTTGAGTATGCGATGGGTGTCTGGAGTCTTGAGTATGCGATGGGTGTCTGGAGTCTTGAGTATGCGATGGGTGTCTGGAGTCTTGAGTATGCGATGGGTGTCTGGAGTCTTGAGTATGCGATGGGTGTCTGGAGTCTTGAGTATGCGATGGGTGTCTGGAGTCTTGAGTATGCGATGGGTGTCTGGAGTCTTGAGTATGCGATGGGTGTCTGGAGTCTTGAGTATGCGATGGGTGTCTGGAGTCTTGAGTATGCGATGGGTGTCTGGAGTCTTGAGTATGCGATGGGTGTCTGGAGTCTTGAGTATGCGATGGGTGTCTGGAGTCTTGAGTCTTGAGTATGCATTATTTAATCACTTGCTATCAGAAGATAATCAAAACAGAATGGCGGAAAAATATGTTTAAACGATACACTGGCCAAACGCAAAACGTTACTCTTGATGATTTCTTAATTTAATCGGGTTACAATAAGCAGTACCTCTCAAAACCGTTACACATGCATGCAAATTACATACAAACACAAACATTTTCTGTGTATAATAAGAGTTTTCCCCTATTCCACATATCCCTACTGACCAATCCCCACTGGTAAGAATACTAGGATTTTTTTCCAATTATAGCTACCGGTAGGGGTATTTTATGAAATATGTCATACCTAATATTAAAAAACTTATCCCTACTGGTTGCGATAAATGGAAATAAAAATCCAAGTATCCCAACCAGTGCAAATCGGTGGAGGTATGTGGAGTAACAGATTCCATATATCCCTACCGGTAGCTATAATTGGAAAAAAAAATCTAGTATCCCTACCAGTGGGGATTTGACAGTAGGGATATGTGGAATAGGGGCGAGTTTTGACCTGTCGTGTTTGTACGGCGAACAAGCTGTAAGAAGTACAGCTTATGGTAGCTTCGGTGGCGACGGCGCCATCGTAGCGGTCAGTTGGAAATATTCCGCTAACTAGTTTCTATAGTAGTTCTATCTACATTTGATAGATGGCACTTTACTGGTTTAACCAAATCATGATCTGTGAATAGCTGTACTGACTCGTACGAATGCACATAGTGATTCCAGAAAAAAATACTTTTAGGCGTACATTAGTCGCGTAGTGTGCTCGCAAAAACTTAATTCTATTGGAAAACTAGCTGTGCCCGCTACTTCATCCGCGTGGAATTAATCTTAGTTAATTCTTACTCCAAAAATTATCTGCCATTGAAAGTCCCGTTTAAAATGGGTTAAGTGATTAGGCGGAACATACAAACAAAAATGTAAAAAAAATATATTTTACCACCATACCATGATGTATTTGATAAAAAGCGGTTGCACTACAATTTTATTTATTTGTATATATGTATGTTGTATTGCGGTATTGCGTGGCAAATAATCTATACTTGACTTTACAAACCAGTCGCGTTCAAAAACTTAAAATTCTACGGTGGCCCCAGGGATATCTACCATTCTATTAGTTGTCAGAAGAATTCTTAAAATAAAAACATACTTGACAGGCAACTTGTTGCTTGACAAGACTTTTTTGACAAATGAAAAAATTATCCCTCGGGGAATGAAAAATTAAAAATATTCAGCAAAATTATAAAAAATTTCAGTGTTTTTCTTTATATTTAGCAATGTGCAGTCCAGTTTTAAATTTACCTAGCTACAAAGAACCACCGGAATTTATTCCATGTTGTCCCGTAAAGGCAAGTATTATTGATATCAGTTTATGTAAGTCCATTGACCTAAACTTAAAGCAAATTTCCTTAATTTAGAAGCTTTTATGGGTACTTACTGTCTAGGTACTTTTTTTTGTTATAGATGTTTACTATTCTCTCGTGATTTAATGCTTCTTATTATTTGTATTTTATAAGATCAATCATCATTAATGACCAATATAGCAATATGAATTTTTTTTTGACACCATGATCTCAAATGCTCATAAGTCAAAATTCAATATAAACGACCACAACTCGTTACGATTAAGATGACACCTGAAATACTATTCTTACCCTCGAAGGAACATCACCCGTACATTACAGACAGCGTCAGGTCCCTTACATTATCATAAATAACGAAAAATGCGTTTTGGAGTAGTATTAGCATTTCGAAAATACATGAAATTTCTTGTTCGCGTCGGGTGTTATTTCGTAGGAGTACCTAATATATAAATCAATCCTTTTGATATATAAATATCCTCTTGTTATAGGGTCCACCCTGCCTTCCATGTGGCATGGACCCGGTGACACTGCGTCGGCCACTCATCGTGCATGACAGCACGTTTGATTACCGCCCCACGAGCTGGCCAGGCATGCTTCTAAATAACCAAGACAAGAAAGTCCGCTACCAACTTATAAACTATGAAAGACCAGTAGGTTTTATTACTTTGGTAGTATTTAAGTATGTAGTTAATAAATTTATTTTTAGAAAGCTAGGTTGAATCCTGCTTAAAGCGATTTTAACACAAAAGTTTGCTTAGCTCATAGTTGCTTAATTAGTGCATATTAAATTGACTGGTAGAGAATACCATTTTGGACTTAAGTTCACCATTTGCTATTTGATAGGTAAAAAGCTTAAATGAATAAATAAACAATACAAATACGGGATATTTGTTTTCCCGTTCTAAATGGATTACGTGAATCCAAATAAAGCAATAACAAAATGTAAATTCAATGATGGACTATAATCACATTATACAGCAGATTTGCTGTTTTGTTACAATACAGCGTCGAACACAGCGCTATTGCAAAATTAGTAGTACAAACAATTTTTTTATTACCTTTCCAAGTAGTATATATTTTTATATGATTGAAACTCTAATATTTCATTTACTGTCGATGGGTGCAACACACGGAGTGCGGTTGACATCTGGGAACTTATCCTATTGGTCAATAAAACAATGGCCACCCAATGAAAGCGAGGAACAGAAATCGCCCGCACGCTGCACATGGATGTCATTTACCTATCGACTAGTGTAAATACGCCATCGTAATACTGTTATCAGCGCCGTTTTAAAACTGCATTTTATGGTTACAATTTTTTTCCAACAGAAATAGTTCTGCTGATTTCAGTTACAGGAACCATTTTTATTAAATCTTTTTAATTGTTTCTTAATCTAGGAAGTAACGAGTCCTTTATAAAACTTTGATTTTATTTCATTTCTCTGATAAAAAGTCGGTGGGTGATTCTCTTTAATGGTCTTTGATTGTGGTTGAATAGGTATTACGTACCTACTATTTTTTTTATATTCCATAGTTTAAATACTTTTCCACTAATCAAAATATTTGTTGTTTTCAGGCGATTTCGCATTATCCATCCTGCGCTCCTTCTTACACACGTTGTTAAATTGGGCGAGTTTTAATTATTATAAAAATGAAATGTAAGTATTTAGTTATAAAGTAGGTATCACGAACTGTGTCGACACGTACAGAGTACTGTAATAAGCTCAACACAATAAGTAATGCTGTCGTCAGATAATAAAAGCAATAAAACCAAAAAACTCGACTGCGTAAAAACTAATTGAAAAATATCCATGAAATAATTAACTCAAATAAAAACTAAAAAGAAAGAAACAAGTCCAGTAGTTCAGAATTCTGTTAAGTTATACAGAACAGAACGTCTCATAGTCGGGGCCCCTTGGAAAGATTTAATTGGTAAAATTTTAATTCTTTTTAGTTTTTATTTAAGTTAATTTTTTCATGGATATTTTTTTATTAGTTTTTAAGCAGTCGTTTCAAGTTTGTTTTTCATAAAAAAAAATTTTTTTATACTTTTTAGTTACGATTCGTTTTTCGTACTTCGTTATAAGATGAATGAATGAATGAAATACTCTTTATTGTACACGCCATAAGTGAATGAACAAATATATAGTAATCTAACAAAATAGTACAATTGGCGGCCTTATTAAGATGGTAAATTTCGCAATCTAGTCATTTCATTGAGAGAGTTAATATCGTGGGGATTATTAAGTAACTTGCGGTGGTCTAAACTACTGATGATTAGTCCCTCTAGAGACCTAACTCGGCTCAAAGCTACATATGCTATAATTTTTTCCAAAAATATTTGATCTTCATACTTTTTCACTGTTTCTTTTTTTGTTTGTATATCGTTTATACTTTAAATAAAAACTTTAATCAATAAGTAAGAAAATTAGCCAGAATGATTGTTTTGTCAAACAACTTTAAAGCGTTATATATCCTAAACTATTTTTTAAAATGATAAAAAGAACCTAAAGATGATTTTAAAATACCTATTCAACGACACCCCACTTGACATAGTTCATTGATATTTTATTTTTTTCATTTTGACATCTGGTTATCGCTGTGGTGAATTTTAATTACTGTCATATCTTTAGTGACACTCGCAAGGTTAAGACGAATCGATTGACGTAATCATCAAAATCGGCCTACGCATTTAGTCTCTAGAACGCCACATAGAAACAAACATACATACATACATAGACTGATAAACACATTACCCTCCTTTGCGTCGTGCAATCAGGTAAAAATGCATGTGTGTCACTTACAAAAAATGCGTCAATTATAATAATAGAACGTAGCAGCATTATGTTGACGCAGGTTCCTAGTATACTATCCAAACACAAACGTCTAGTTGTGCTATTATTTCAGACTAGCTATTTTCGCCCTCGTAAATTAAAGCCTATGTCACCTGCGTATAAGAATTTATGTACTTCTATAATTTTTAAAATCGTTCCAGTAGTTTCGGTGCCTATTCAATACAAACAAACGAATAGTCAAATCCCGACTATTTATAATGTAAGTGTAGATAAAATAAAATATTCCAACTTATTAAGTACGCTGTCCACTTTTACAATTATTATCAATTTGTGATTGTGATTATAATCGTAAAATTCAGAATCACATCTATACTAATATTAAAATGTCTAGTATACTAAAACTTTGATTGTATGTTTGTTTAATTGTAATGAATAGGCTCAAAAACTACTGGACCGAAAGCTACATTATCCACGAGTAACATAGGCTATATTTTATTTTGGAAAAAATAGGGTTCCGTAAGATATTTGGGTTTTTCGGACACAAGGTGTAAAAAATCAACCAGAAAAGTTACTTATTTTTCCTAAACTATAAAAGATAGAACCATAAAATGTTTTAATTAATTGTAGATCTTATAAATATCTACAAAAAAATCCGCAACACACTATGCATATCTAGGTTGAGTAAGGCACGACAGCAATTTTTTTATTCAAAAATCTTAATATTTTTGGACTACATTTAAACGCGTTTATTTTACTCATGCTATTAATCCTTATCAAGTAAACTTATCAAAATTTCATCTCTAAGTACAGTTTATGTAGATAATATTTGGTCTTTGAATGATTAAAATTGGACGTTTTGTTTTGAAGTTATGGCGAAATTAAAATATTACGATCTCTGCTGCACAGCCCGTTGTATAAAACGAAGTCGCTTTCTCTGTCCCTATATTCCTATGTATTAAATCTTTAAAACTACGCAACGGATTTTGATGCGGTTTTACTTCATAGATAGGGTGATTCAAAAGGAAGGTTTTTATCTATAATACAAGTTCACGCGGGCGAAGCCGCTGGCGGAAAGCTAGTACATGATATAAAAAATATTTAATAATCCTAAACCCCGTACTTATTGGCCGCATTGAAAAGTATGCAACAAACCTCAAAAGAAAAAGTTAATGAAACTTTTTACAATTTGTCATTTTGATATAACAAAACTGACATAAAAAATAAATTTGTCTAACAAAATAAATGTCAATCACAAATTGCTAAATTTTGGATAATATCAAAATTTTCTGAGTACAAAATTCAAAATAATCAAACATCCTTAGAAAATATAGAAAAATGTGTGATCGCATGGGTGTTATTAAACAATTACAGAACGTTATGTCAGCCATTGGGTAAGATCTTTAAAATTTCTAAAGGAGTTTTAGGCTATTATGTCTGTTCAACGTTGGTTCAGGGATCGTAATAATTTAGGTATTTAAATGTTGATGAATGTCTTCTTTATAAAATACAGTAAAACGGAACAATTTTGAATCCTTAACCATAAAGTTTTTTTTTCAATGGGGTTATCTTGTTATTTAAATATCATCTAAATACTTCATTTCATGTTGGTCCAATAGTTTAAACTATGTGCGTCTTATTATAAAACAAGGACTAAATTTAGTACTTGTTTTAAGAGAGTATATATTGTAAGTAAGCTTATACTCGCCTAAAGCACCAAAAAACAATGATAGAAGAGAAAACGTTAAATTGCAATGCATTGACTTAATTTGGTCAGATAATGCTTTTAACCTGGTACAAAAGTTAGTCCTCGTTTTAAAATAAGACGGCATGCGGAACAGTAATACGGTGGGCCGTGGTTAACTGCTTAGGAGTTCAAAGTCAACTGAATTGCTTATTAAATAACAAATTTAAATTTTTACTGATCAGTCGATGCGATTATTTAGCTTTTCAGCACTCTGGTGGTAAAAAGAAATGGACCTTATTAGGCGACAATATCTAAGTTGAACCTTTCAGGGTTCCACAGCTCAAAACCAAAAATGGAACTCTTATAGGACCACTGGGTTGTCCGTCTGTCCTGGACTGGGTGACTGTCTTTTTACCAGTATTGTATTCATTAGTGAATGTGGTGCATGTAGAATAGACGTGATGCAAATAAAGTACGAATCAATCTACACTAAATGACTTATGCAAGGGAACAGCGATAGTCTAACGACGTTTTTTTTGTTTTCAGTGGTGGTTGCGGTGGTAGCCCTCCGCCGTGCTGTCAGCCGTGCTGTACACCGTGCTGCGGTCGCGGTGGCGGCTGCGGCTCTCTTGTCACAGTTTACAGTCAAGTAGCACATATCCAGTGACGCGTTAGCGTAGCGTGCGCACGCTTCATTGCCAAGTCATCTATCCTTACTTTATTTAATAATTCAATTCAATTCAATCGATATATTGAATATAATCAGTAACTTGAAATTCTTCTGTCATATTAGTAACGTACTCGATAATGTGATAGAGTTGATTAGAGATGAATTTGGCTTTTTAATGTTATCTTTCGTGCCTTTAGACGGAAGGCTGGTGACAAAAATGATTTCAGTTTATTATGAACTTATTTTGAGCAGCTTGTTCTTAATATAAAATGTGATATACTCTTAATGAAAAATGCTTCAATAATCCACTATGTCCCTGGCACTGAGATAGGACTTGAACCATGACCTTTCGCAATCTAGGCGAGTGCTCTGCCCAGATTGCGAAAAGTATTTTTCATTGAGAATATTTTTCAGTATACGAGTAGCATTGTGAATACAAAATTTATCAAATATGATATGTAATATGATGTCAGTATGTCTTACAATTTGTTATGAAACTCAGCTTCGGAAAAGTTTTAAAATGGTTGAAATTTAAATTATTACTACATTATTATAACTAAATTCAGTAAAATAAAATACTTAGAGCGCACAGTTGCAGAACATGTCCGAGGTGTTCCAGCATCTGATCTCAGCTCTGGGTACTGAATTGTGTTTACGATTCAACATACTGAAATAGATATAACTTTGTAAGGACCAAAAAAAACTGAACCGTACTATACTAGGCATGAGTGGTCGGCTATGGTCCTTTCTCTCTATATGATTCTATCCATAGGGAAAGCCAGCAGTTAGGACTTTGACTGTAAAGAACAGATTAATTACTTGAAATATTATAAATTGACTCATGAGCTTAGTTGAAGGCAATGAAGACACTTTTTTTCTACTGGAATAATCATGTCCGTATGAATTAAGGAGCCACCTCAGATTTTTATAATAATTTACCCCCTTAATTAGTAGGGATTTAAATAATTTTGTAACATCCTAAAATTTTTAGTAAAATCTATACACAGCTGTTTAAAAGTGACACAATTTAAAAGTGACTCCTCAATCTAAACATCTTTTGTTACTACTCTCTATTAAATTAATTAGTGAATGCTCTCTCTGGAGAAAATTTGTCTTTAATGTATATCAAGAATTATTTCGTTTCATTAACAGATGCCGTGTTGGCTGTGGGCCAGCCTCCTCGTCCAATAGCAGCGTTCGATAAGGCTACCATAGCGATAGGCCAACATGGACCAGGATGCTTTAATATAAGCTGATGTCCCGTCAGCTTCACCAGCTATGAACGTCTATTCTAGTAAAGTTTGTAATGTAAATTCTGGTGACCGTTTTGTGCAGTCCTGTATTATAGTTTGGTTTTATTAAAACTGTGAAATAAAGTGGCATTTAATAGTGTATCTCTTATTTCTTTTATCGATCCACATTCTTACGTCACTAATCACGTTTTCATATTATTCTAGTAGCCATCTAATATGGAATACACTGGATTGTAACTATATTCATGTACAATAGAAACTTCATGACTCAATGTTATGTATCGAGTTCAATCTGGTTGCCCATGGTTGAACCAGTATGGGGCATTTCATTATAACTTTGTTATAACATACTGGCGGTTCCCGCGATTTCACCTGTGTAAATTATAGTATGTTACTGTTCATAGGTGAAACAATATTTAATTGTTTAAAATCTAGTTGATTCAGAACCAATTTTATGAAAATCTTTCCTCTTTTAAGATATAAGTAGAGATCACATACTGTTAACAAAATGTTACATGCTGATACAGAATATCTTGCTAACCTGATTAATATTGCTTTTTTTAAGAGAAATTTTTACTTGTCGCATTTATATTTGTGATATAGAGACTTGTTATACGATTATATTTGAGGCGAGTGTAGTGAACGAATATTGGTATATTTTTTAAAAAGCAAACACCAGTCATCGAAAAGTGGAAGCTATCCTGTTAATAGAATGGCTGGTCAAAAAGTTTACAATTTATTTATATCATAATTGGCTTTTGTCATAATACCAGGATTCTGCAACCATCTTATCCTGAAACGGACAGGCTTAAGAGTGATTGGCCTACCTGGTATAACCCGCTGTGGATCTTGGTGGGGGGAAGGATCCGAAATCTAGCAAGGGACCTACTGAATATATCATAACAGACTGTTGTGAACAGATGTTATCTACTTTTTCGAAAAACGACAGCAAAGTTGAACGATGATTTGACGACAGTATTCATACCATATATATAGTATATCTATAGTCCATACAATGATAATAATAAAAGAAATTGTATATGTGATAATACCTAATTTATTTCGATGACACTGAACACATAATATTCACTTTTAAATTGTAATTCTTGCTATACTTAAAATTGGCAATTTTCCATTTCTTCACTGTCGTCTTGCTTTACATAATTTGCGTATGGCAGCTATAAATATTTATGCAAGGGTTAACTGGTATACATCTTTGGGTAGGTGGAATGATGTTTTGACAGAGGTAAGGTCCTGGACTTCCGCAAATGTTGGCAGCTGGGATGCACGCCGTGGGTACACACATCTTCGGAGGACAAGGATCGCAACAGTTCACCATCTTGTGTTTTTTACTGGAATTTTATTCGAAAGTCTCTGAATTATAATGATGATTTGGATGAAATGAGAACTTAAACGCCACACCACATGTATTTATAACCATATGCTAAACCAACCAGATATAAAAAAACATCTATACGACCATGAAATTGTGTTCGTTTCCATTACACAATATTATGTCTATTAAAATCTTCATTTTTTTCATATAAATTACAATAATAATAATAATAAGAAGCTGTTCACGTGATTACGATTTTTTGAAGTTGGTAAAATTTTTTTTAACTGTTTTTTTTTTACTTCTTCCTTTTTTTAATAATAGAAGTTAATACCGATCCATATAACATACTTCTAACTGGTAATAAATGGACAAATAATGGTCTTTATTTAAATATACTTATATTTACAGTATAAATATTTACTGTGATGGTAGCAGTTCCAAACTAACCTAACCCACTATTCTTGAAGCAATTCGTTTTTATTAGGATCGCAGTTCTAACCTTACCTAGCCTACTGTACTGGTAACAGCTCGTTTCTTATGTAATTTAGTAAGTTATCTCTTATATTTTTCTCAAGTGGAAAAATAATCAAACAAAAAAGTTTAATTTCAATCAAATGTCTAATTTGCGAGAAATACACATAGACACATATAGACTCACAAACATACATATCTACAAAATATAGCACATGTGTTTAGAAGCGTATATAAAAATATTGCGCCATATTTCATCAAAATTACATAGGTCAAATTGATTACCTATTTTTCAAAGTTGGTTATCTAAACCTCTTTTTTATGTCAGTTAATAACGTACATACATACTTAAAACCGACGGATGCCTTTTTTAAGTTGGTTAAAAAGAACGTCATCTGTTTTAACTCCTTTTAAGACGGTTAATTTTTACTCCTTTTATAAGTGGCTTAATTTTTAATAGGTTATATAATTTATTTATAAATATTGAACTGATTTTGATGAAACTTGTGGTGTACCGAGCTAAGTGAGCAATCAATTAAAAAAAAGTATTGCAATCCGACGTCTAGTTTGCGAGATATCCGTGGACACTGGACATACATACATACATCTATGAAATTTTGCACACGTGTTTAAAAGCCTACATAGACCAATATATATGAATACTACGCCATTCCAACGAAATTACATACATTCACCTCGAATTGATAACCTCCTTTTTTAAGTTGGTTTAAAATTAGCGTCACACAGCATTCATTGAATAGATTATTAAGTAAGTTAATCTCATTCGCTTTAAGCAACATGGAATCATCAGCGTATTAGAAATAAGCATCTGATTCGGTCCAGTCCTTAGGCCATACTTCTGTTCGCCAGATAACGTCGACAATTTTGTCTAACGCGTCAATTCTTACATTATTCATATCCTTAAAACCTCCGTGGTAATTTGATCAGGATCAGGTGCTTTCTTAGTATAGAGCACATTTCGAGCCCTTCCTACTTCAGCCCTGCAATTCTGTAAATATCCAAACCCGAATTCGAATCTACTCAGGTTTCCGAATTCACTTCAAAAAGTGGCATCCGCGCAATTATGAATTGGTAATAACGTTTCGTGACAGAAATGAGTTTCAAAATGACATATATGTCTGAGACACGTATAATCACGGTTTTGTATTTTATACAAAAAATAGAAGCAATAGAATTTCTTCACTATATGACGTGAATTTGGATACATCAATGAATCCAAATTCACGATCGGATTTTTATAGAATCGCTCTGCAGATTTTAGTGTAAGTGGTTCTTGTTATATATTGCCTGAATCTAACAGATGCGAGTTAGGTTGCATCAAGGAGTTAGAGTGAGCAAATAGTTTTTAATAATTACACCTATTTTTGAAAAATATCTCAATTCAATCCTTAGGTCCTACTAAACCACGTATAGATTTTTTTTCTAATTATATTTGATCAATTTTTCATTCACAATGCCATACTGTAAAATATTCTCAATGAATGAAATTTGCTTAAAAAAATCCACTTTGTCCCTGGCACTCTGAGATGGGAATCGAACCCACGACCTTTCGCAGTCCGGGCGACTGCTCTAACCACTGAGCTATCCAGGACCTAACAGGACTGTCGAATTCTTCAAACACTTGTTACTTTTTCGCTACTAGAAAGCAAGAGATGAGGAGATTTAAGCATTATTCATTAAGAAAAAATAATTCAATCGGTAAGTGTTATATCAAAATTTTACATTTTATTATAATCCTTTCGACGATAAGTGTTTACAATTGATAAATTTATGCGTTTACCCTTTACAAAACTATGGTGGTATAAAAACATAATAACCACTGTCACTTCCATAGCTGTCCACATACCATCAGCATCACTATTATCAGTCATTTATGGCGCCTATGGCTCGCTTTTTAACAGACTTTAAAATCCAAAAGGAGGATATGTTCGACGGCGATTTTTTTTTTATGTATGTTGACCGATATTTCCGCTAATTGTTGGCCGATTTTTAAAATTCTTTTTTTATTTAACAGCTTCATGGGCCGAGGTGGTCCCGTTTCCCATTCCCAATAAAATCAGTAGTTTTCATTTTATAACAAAACTAAATATGCTTTTCACCATATATCATCTAAATAATCTATACATATATAAAAGGAGATGTCCTGACTTATTGACTGACAGACAACGTAAAGCCTAAACCCCTGGTCGTAGAAACTTGAAATATGGAGGGAACATTCCCCTTAATACGTAGAGGTGTACTAAGAACGGATTTTTGGAAATTCCATCGCGAAGGGGGTCAATAAGGGTGAAAAAGTTTGTATGAAACTTCTTTGTTTATGGACCTATGGTGATGAAAATTGGTATTCGGGTAGTTTATGACCCTAGGAAGGTAGTAGGTAATATTATATCCCGAAAACTAGCACTTAAAGGGATAAACATGGGAGTGAAAGAATTTATGGAGAATCAAAATGTTACCATAGCAACCATTGTTTACAATCTGATTTGTCACTGTAATTAATCTAACTATTAGAATTTATAAAGATTTCCTTATGTTGCTATAAAAATTGGTATTTGAGTACAATTGATAACTAAAATAACAATTTAAATAAATATTTTTGAAAATAGTCAAGTACAAATAATTTTATATACGAGAGAAAATACAAAATATATATTTTTTGTTATACTAAATGGCGTTAAGTGTACTTCTACATCGCACTGTTTTGGTCAAGGTTGAGTTTTCAAAATAAATTTAGTGAGAACTTTAAGCTTCTTTATGCTTAATTCTGATGAGTAGCTCGGTGGCGTAGCGGATAAGCGGCGCTGCTCGCGATCGTTGTTGTTAAGCTACATTCTCAAGGGTCGGTAACGGAATGGGTGACCAAAAATAGTTATTTCGAGCTACTCTGTCATTCGCAAGGCACGTTACGTCCTGGCTGCATTTGCAGTCATTAATACCCTCCAATCCGCATTGGGCCAGCGTTAATTATTACGTACTAATATATATATGTACATACATGCAAAATTTGGTCTGTGTATAACCCACTAAACAGAGTTGCCTTGAGATAGGACTTAGGTTGTTTTTTGTGATAAAGGAGTGGAAATAAGGCATTAAAGTTTGTACAGATGTTCATTACTATCACAGCTAAAATCATGAAACCTTATGTCAGGTATTTCACATGATATAATGAATAAATATTTGTTTAGGAATGCTGCCCAAAGTCACTATACTACGCGGACGAAGTCGCGGGCAGAAGCTAGACAAATAATAAAGTATATTATACCGTTAAAGAACATCTAAATGAAAAAAGGGATGGTGTTCGATATTTTAATTTTATGTGGTTAACATTATAACTATGAATAAGGTATGTGCCGTATCATGCAGCTATGAATCGGCAATCGGAATATTAATCACTTATCAAAAATATCTCTCTTATTTCTGATATTGCAATGGAATGTGACTTAATATTCTAATGAAGTCACTTTTCAATAAGACTTCTCTGTGTGAAATAAAACAGGAAGAAAAAAGCAGCCCTTACTGAATTTTTTGCCGGTTTTTCAGTACAAGGTCTCCCGCCGTATTTCTGCGAACCGATGGCGAAGTTCTCGACTTTCGAAAGTGCTCTGTGTAAGCCTAAACTGAATATGCAATTTTGATTGCATTTATTTATTAATTAAATAATAAGCCCGACTTCAACAGCATTTTCTTGAATAAGTCGTTTTTGAGATAAGTACCTACTATTTATCACTTTTTAAAGTTCAAAGTCAGTTCTATTTTTTTCTAAGTTTTTATTCCATTGCCACTCTTTGCTAGCAGCTTTCCCATAAAGACGCATTTCTGGCTGGGTCTCTACAATTGTTTTAAGTAGAGATTTACTGTACTTACAGTAAATCTCGACTTAAGACAAATGTATTATTGTATTATAAATAAGGTGAACCATTTAATTGATAAATAAAGAAATACCACCTTAAACTCAGTCATTACTAATAGGTAAATAAGATGCAAACTTTCAAATCAAAATTATTTTGTTCATAAAAACGGTAACAATCGGTCAAATACATTCATCAAAATCACAACACATAATAATACACAGTCGCTACCGAAGCGGAACAGGAACTGAGTAACAGCAACCGGATTGTGGACCCTGTAAGCAAATAATATTAAGTTACCAAATGAACAAACGCGAACAACAAAAGATTTTTCAATGATCGATGCAAAATAACAAAAGAGTATACCTGCTTTACGTAGTTATTGACGGTGTAACGGACGTTTGGGTTACGTCGCGTAAAACATTCACCAGGTAGACCCGAGGGTCTGTTCTGATAGACGCTATCGTGAACAATCAAAGGTCTTCTGCGAGTAACAGGGTCTAGTTCGCAGTCTGGACAGCAGCTACGACAAACTGGGAGGCAGGGATAACAAGCCGGTGGAGCTCGCGGGCAAATTGGCCTTTGTTTAGGGAGAATAGGAGGGGGACATTGAGGATTGCAACACGGTAGTACCGGCTGATAGCAAGGTGTGGGCTCCGGGCATGGACAGACCTGTAAAATACCAATTATTAATATATAGATAAATATTAATCAAACCACATAATTTACTCAAATTCCAAGTAGAATAGCTAAAGTACAATATTATGGAGTATCTGAGACGACAAAGGTACCACAACACCGAGACCAGAGACAATATCAAAAGCTTAATGTTTTACATTAACCCGCCCCGAAATCGAACTCGGGATCTTGAAACTGCCATGCGAACCACTGCGTTCCTGAGGGAAACTATTAAATAAATAAATAATTATATTTATAAATAGAAAGATTACGTCAACATTAATTTCTTACCGGTGGAGGATCACAAGGCTCTGGAGGTGGACAGCAAGGCAAGACAGGAGGACAACAAACAGGCTTCGGTGGTGGGCATGGTGGTGGATCATTGGGAGGACAACGTCGTGGTCTACATGGGGGCAATATAGGAACTATCGGAGGCACTAAATCAGGTATAACTGGTGCTGGACATTGCCTGAATACTGGTTTACAATTGCAAGGAGGGCATGGCGTACATGGGCAAGGAGGGGGGCAACAAGGTTGACAGCAAGGTGCTGGTGGTGGACAAGAGTATGTGCATGGACCCGTCCCGCATGGCAGAATCGCAGGACATGTTGGGCAAAAACACATGGAACACATTTCAATTTTTCGATAATTTAATATTTGCACTAAATTTCTTTTGCTAATTTCTTTTTTTGATAGAACAAATTAAGATCAAAAAATATTTCTACAATTTTTATGTAAAATTTTAATTTTGATATTTTTTTACATCTTTTGAAGATGATGTTTAGATGACGTTTGCTGTCGAATATTACAATAGATAAACGTAGTAGTAGAATTATCTTTACAAAAGGATCACAACATGCCAGGTATATAAAAAATAACTATGGCCAGGTAGATTGGTTTGAATTCTCTTTGATACGATTCCGAACTGTCAATAGAAAAATCTAAAAAAAAATTTCGCCGCTCGTACTATAAGAGAAATTTTTGTATTTTTTATAAAATTTAATAAATAATTGTCGTTCAAAAAACAGTAAAAACGCAAAATGAGTGCTCCATTTTACAGTTTCGACCCTTGCGTCTGCACTGGCTTACCATGCGGGGCGTGTTACCCATACAGTACGAAACCTTGTGTGGCGTCGTGCAACAATCTTGGCCGGTGCTCAGTATGTCCTGGCGGTGGGTGTTCTCCTTGTCCCGCTCCAGTGCGACCATGTCCCGAACCCTGCCCAGCGCCGCCCATTCTACCTTGTTTACCTCCGTGCCCACCATGTGACAAGGTATTCTTATATTCTTCAACATATTTTTATCAGAGATATTAAAGACATATAATATCTTTGATAAGAATATACTTTAAAATTCTTATCTAAAAAACGCGGGATGAGAGAATAACGAATTGTGATTTAACGCTAACTAGATTAAAAGGACGTAGAAGTCGGACTAGGCCAAAATATACTTTTCACGATCAAACTGATCGCGTGCTGTTAAAAGGCATAAACAGAAACTATAAAAACAGAGGTTATTCGCAGTCTGATGATCGGTACTCTCCAATTGGTAGGAGTTGCGGGTTTTTTGTTCCCAATCCTCCGATTAATAGGTTTGGTAGAAGATGCGAGAATACTTTTTCCCAAGCCTGCAATTGAATGAATTTTGTTTTTATCACTTGCTTTACTTAACTAAAAGTATAATAAATGTCGTTATTTGACGTTTATTGAGTTCATTATATGTACTAAAATAATTTGGTTAAGTAAAGAAAGTGGTACAAACGACCTCCTCCTACCAAAACCATTAATCGGAGGATGGTGAAAAATCTCCTGCTCGTACTAATCGAAGTATCGATTGGAGGCTGAGAATAACCCAAATCTGATTAAGAAGGTCATGGAAGCGAAACAAGTATGTAAAGACCGCGTCCTCTGGCTCTCGATTACTTCTACGCAACCCTAGGATCTGGTGTAAAGATACAAATAGATCAACTGTATGGTTTTATTCTTCAGCCCGCAACGCCGGTTCCCAAACCACAGCCGTTATGCGATAGCGTAGCCATTCCATGTTGCCGCCCAAACCGCTGCAAGCCTTGTCCTTGCTACTGCTGCACAGAGCCAGCTGTATGTAGTCCGAAGCGATGCAGTTATCCTGGTGTACCTGTCTGTTCTGGCTGCTGTGGACCTTGTATGCCAGTGTGGTAGCAAGACCGATTTTGTGTCACCATAAGAAAGAACATCTCTTAAAATATTGTTTTCTTCTAATATGCTTGTTACTGAAGCAATTGTCTTTTTGCTGTGGAGTGTTTAAAAATAAATTCTTATAGATTTTTTTGTGAAATGTTTTGTAATAAATTGTTTGGAATAATTTCTATTAATTATTATTCATAAATTAAATCATATCATAGTCATACATAGATACTTTGTTCTTCAATTCTATTCTGATATTACGTTTAGAATATAAGTATCCAATTGTCAAGCTCTGGATGGCCCTTGTTTCCTTATAGTAGAGGAGCCGAAGCGGGGATTTCGGGATTTACTAAAGCGCGGCAGATTAATATACAGGGGGATACCTTGTACCCAGTTAAGTACCTGGACCAAGTATGAGCCCTATAAAAATGGCCGCCCGGCAAGGACGAAGGATCAGATTAGTAAAAAAAATTGATCATCTGAAAATCTCGAGCGCGTCAGATTAAGGTAAGGTGAGCTAGTTACATACTAAAAGGTGTACATACCTCAATTCTGACAATTTGAGAGTGACGTAAAAAAGGGGGAAGGCTACAAAGTTGTAAAAAAAACGTCACTTTGACATTCTCGAGCGTGGCTAATTTTTTTTTTATTTTGAAGGGAATCATTCAAGGATTACGAAAAATATATAATCTGACGATTTTCACAAGCCGAAGTAATAAAAATTCGTCGATAAGATTTAATGCGTGCAGCTACGTGATACCTATATTTCCTTCTCCGTATCACTATTTCTCTCTCACTTTTTTTCTATCTATTACTCTCTCACTCCGTCCCCACTCTGGTTTCGGTTGCCATGACGCCATGACAGCTGATGACACAGACTCGTTCGTGGCGTGATATTTACATCGTATTTCCAACGTTTTTGCTTATTTTGTTATTATAATGTAAATTTTGTGAATTAAACTTTTTACATACATATTTACTAAGAGAAGAAGAGGAAGATGATTCTAGCGATGAAGATGATAATAATTAATAGAAAATACTGTAAAAATAAATTTTCATATAATCGTTTTCTTATAAATATAAGTATTCTACATAAAAAAAAAACATACACTTTTTTATTTGCATGCTAACTCCGTTTAATTAAGCTCAATGATTTGAAAAATTTTTAAAATAAAATTTTAATTGTCAGATTAAGTAAATCCCTTCAGATAATCGTCAGATTATGAGATATCACGTCTGGGGCATAAAAATGAACCATATATATCTTAATCTGACGCGCTTGAGTATTTCAAAATGGCGATATTTTTTGCATATTCTAATAATGGTCACGCGTTTGCGTTACATCCAAATCGTCAGATTATTATATGAGAGCTTTTTTTTTAGGTTCACTTGACATCCCCTCAAAAAATCTGACGCGCTCGATAATTTTTTTTTTTCATTTTCATCCCTTACGTATAACCACCCCCATCATGGAAACGATCAGATTAACATACGACAGTTTTTAAAAATGCGTAGGACATGGATGATATTAATATCTGACGCGCTCGAGTATATCCATACAACAGTTTTTTTTTACCTTTTTTAAAATCTATAGCCGCTTCCCCCATCGATTAAAAAATATATATTTTGTTATCATCTAAGCTTCGCAACCGAACAGGTCTCTATGACGCTCGAGTAAATCCCGATTTAGCATCGTGGGCTCCCCTACTATTAAGAATTTCTCGTATGGACTAAATACTGAAAAATGAATTTTCCACTTAACTTTCTTTCCATAAATATGTAAAACTTGCTAGCGTGTAGCTGTTGAACTGCTTTAGAATAATTACTAAAGCATAGAAACCGTAATAAAAGTAAGAGACTGTGTCATAATAACGCAATTAAATTTGACTATAGATGAGATAACGAATCCACATTTGTTTCTTAATTTATAAGGATGTCACTTAGAATAATTACTAAAGCTATTATGCTAAGATGCGGACACAGGTGTGGACTCTACCTTATAATGCAAATTATACTATTTTTATTGTAACTACTTACTATATTTTAATGATGGCCACTTCATGTCAAATAGAATTAAAAATAAAAAAAAACTTGACAGTTTTTTTAAGTATATACATAAAATACACATTTTTGTATAAAAAAAATTGAAATCTCAATAAAGTGAATATAAAAATAGAAAAGAATCAATAAAAATAACTAAAACAGGATTGGTAAGTACTTATATTTTTATACTTGGTTAATTTAGCAAAATCCTTATGATGGATCATATCGTAAAATCAACCAATAATACTTAGCAATTTTCTCTCCACAGATCTTTTAGACGATTGTCAAGCATGTCAGTTTTGCCAAGAGGATATGAATGTATAAGACCGTGCCCAAGGTACGGTTGTGTCAAAGGCGAATACAGCATTTACTATAAAAGACCAAGGTGCGGTCAGCCTAGACCCCAGCCATTCCAGAGAGAAGCCACAGCATATTGTTCAGGGCCTAGCAACGCTCCGAGAGAGAGGTAAGCCTACATCTTTAAAACAATTGGATGAAAATATCTTTTGCTGCCTCGTTACTTAATTATATTTTGAAAGATTCTTAAAGTATCCATCTTATTCAAGAGATAAGTAGTCGGACATTAATGGAAGGATAGAAGGAGATTGAGGGCTTTTAAAAAAAAGGTGAGTTGAAACATCGCCTTCCGACTACTACGGTGGTGGCGCAGTTGATATACGATGTTGCCAACATGCTTATAATTTTCGAGAAATCAGGATTGTTTCAACTTGCCTTTATTTTAAAAACCCTCGTTCTCTTCTAATGGGAGTAACAAGCTATTTATTAACAAGCATTAAAGTTACTAATTTTATCAACTCTGACATTTGGTATTAAATTAACATTGACAAATGTAATGTTGTACGAGTACGTAAAATTGTTAGTTAATTCAAAAATGTTGTGCATAAAGGATTTTATCTTCTTTTCAGGCCATGTTGCTATGACTATCCATGTAAAGCAGATTGCTTTAATCACGGCGCGTGCACTAGACCAAGCGGTCGATACGCTCGCACTGTTTGGTATCCAGGCGAATGCTGTCCAGTGGTACCGCCTTGTCAAGCTTTCACTTGCCCCAACCCACCTTACCATCCCTGTTGCTACCACACTTGTAACAAACTGGTGTGAACGGCTGAAAAACTAAATATCTTTGTTTTTTTATGACGTGTGTCCGTGTAATTCTGTACTTTAATGACATGTTTGTGAAACTGTGAAGTCCAATAAATACTAAAACGAGTATTATAATTTCTTATACCCAGCAACGATTCTTCGTAACAATTCTAACGCAATATTCTTAATGATAATTGCTTAAAAAATCCACTTTGTCCCTGGCACTGTGAAATGGGAATCGAAGTCACCCCGGTTGAGAGAAGTCATGGGTCCGATTGCCATCTCAGAGTGCCTGGAACAAAGTGGTTTTTTTAATCATGTTACATTAAGAATAATTTTCAGTATAGCATTGTGAATGCAACTTTGAAAACTAAACGGTGGCAAAAAGTACATAAATATTGCATTTTGGCACAAATACAAGAAATATTAGATACGGTAATACTTGTTGATGTAATGTGTAATATTCCTGGCGCAGAAGTGTGTAACTATAACAATATGTATGTAGAAAACAGATAGATGTGTAGATACAATATATGTAATCTTTGCACCAACCAGCAAAGACGTCACAACCCACGCATCTAGATTGAATGAGCTTTGCGCAGTTGTTTTCGCGCGCTTTTCATGTACACTTCGATTGTTTGATAAAAAAAATTGGTGAACCGCGAATGTATTCTTCAAAATGTCAGTGTTAGTTATATTTTTATTTTGCCACATATTCGGTAAGTAAATTTTAATAAATAAACAGGTAAAAAAATGTCTTAAAACGTTTTTTATCTTTCAACTATGTGCATCGTAACAGCATAATTGATAATAGCATACAAAACTAAATATCGTTTTCGCTAATTGAGCTTTAAGCTGTTTGTTAAAAATATTAATCTTTGTCGAATCTTATTCTTATTCGCGTAAAGAGGTAAAAATCTTTAACATTCAATTTGATAAATAGGCACATACTTAAATACCGTAAAACATTTTAATTGGGTAAAAATACTCACTCATAAGTTTTTTTTTGTGATTGAGTTTTAACGTTACTCATATAACGTTTATATTATTTTATAATACCAGTCGTAATATATTAAAAACCACCGTGAGCACATCATAAAATTTCACGTTTCAATAAAAAAATATATGCAAAATGATAAAAAATAAGTTTTTTGTAGGAATTAAATTAAGATATTGCTTTGTAACGGAAATTATATCCAGCTAATAAAAAACGCACTTAGTAAAAAAGCACATCGTCGAATACGGCGTTGTCGTATCATTAGAGGTACAGTCAAATAAAACCTACTTCAAATGTAATAATGCTTTTATTTTATTGAACCTCTAATGCTGGACAGCGCTGTCCGACGCTGACATTTTACAGAACACCAAAGCTGTACTAAAACAACCAAGCACACGTAATGCAAATCATATTTGATATACACATTTTCAAGTTGAAATATTATCATATTTCAACTGAAATTTTAGCGCGGCAAGATTAATTTCTGATTATCCTATAACCAGCCCAAAGATTAAATTATAAACAGTTTTATTCAAATCTAAGAATATAGTTTTTAAATTTATCGTCAACTTTCAAACTGACTCATTTTGACAGAGTTTTTTATATCCAAAGTACACAATTCGTCAAAAATAAGCTGGTTAGAACGACCGCAATTTGCGAAAGGTTATGGGTTCCACTCCCATCACGGGTACTTGGGGCTGGTGATCTTTTAAGCATTCTTTTTTAATAAAAAATAATAGTAGATTTTATTTTCCAGTTCACAGTATTGAGACAATCCCAGTAATTAATTTTTAAACTTACTTTGGAAAAATAAATATCAATTTTTATTATGAATGCGAAATTGATCCAATATAATAATAATTCGTTAAGTTATAGTTTATTACAAGCATATTACATACAGATGATGAAAACATTAAGAAAATCAAACATCAAGTACGTTATTTATCTACTAGGAAACTTAATTAACCATCTAGTTTTTAACAAGGAAAATATCAAATGTAACTACGGTTAATTCCCGCATTATAATGTTAATTACTTATTAAAAAACAATTAGGAAGACACACGCACTGTATGCTATACACCTACACAAATAAAAACAAGTTTTGTATTGTATTAAGTACTCTTACGATGTACACACCAGCACAAAAACATATGTATGTATATTGTATACCTCTGACTAGTTATTATAAGCTCATGATTATTTTAAGCATAATGATATCACCAAAGCTAAGGGCACTTCAATAATACAAGTAAATACTACTTAAGTTTTTAACTACTGTCTGTTGTTTTTGTATGTAAATCAAGCTTTTATACTTCATTAGATAATTTAATTTTGTAATTAATCTTAATTGATTTGTTATATTTTATCAATTTCGCATTCATAAATACTCTTAAGGAAAAATGTTTAAAAAATCCACTCCACAAAAGTGGATTTCTAAGCATGTTTCACTAAATGATTTTTTTAATCAGTGTAAATGACTGTACCTCTTTAAAAGATAGTTATCACATGTTTACTACATTTATTTAATGATAAACAAAGCCATTATAAAATAAATAATATACTTAATAGAAAAAATCCAGGATAACAGTCCAAAATAAAGTGCGAAATTATTGATTTTTAGGTACTTTGGCAGCGTGGCCGTCACATATAGACATCAACAGGTAAGTCAGTAATCAGTAGCAACAAAACGAATTAAGGCAAAAAATTAGCACTAAACTACTACAGAAAAAGATCATGCGTCTTCCAAAACAGATTTCGATATTAACAACATTAAAAATATGATAAAATAAACGAATACATATATTATATACCTTTAGAATATCATGAAAAACTTCCGCTTGAAGAACACGTTTATTTTTTCTCTTTTCCTGTTATTTTTACTTAATTCATAAATACATAAAATATTTGAAAGGCGAAGAAAAAATAATTTTAAAAGTAAGGAACCCTTTTGCCTATGTAATTCTTATGAGTGAAAGTTATAAAGGTATTATAAAGGGTATCAATAAGTTTTTATCTCATTATGAATAACAATTTAAGAAACTTATGTATCAGCACCTCGATAATTATTATTAGAAAAATATTATTTAAACAATTCAAACTCATTATTCATTCACACCTACCACGTTCTCAGCATAGTTTTTATGACATTGAACCTAGAACATATTTTTAGGTTGAAAATATTCATAGTCTCAAAGATAATTTCAGCAGAAATATCGCACTTCTGGTACTACACACATCTTCGTCACCTCTCCTTAACTCACTATAATACATAATAATTATTTAAATGCAAATATATTATATCCTTTACACTGTATATTATATCATCTAAATACAAATACTTATTTTTGTAGAATCAGATAAAATTGAAATAACACATTTTCGAACGCTAACAACTCATTCCTAATTTCATAGATATTCCCGCATACTAAAATAACAGTTCCCACTGCTTCTACGTCATTTCTATCCGTGTTTATCAATATTATTCTAGGTTTTCAACTGCATACCTAATTTATTGGGCGTACGGCTTTAAGAAGATCGAATGGTATAAATATTTGGGTAACTTCGAACACTTTGAGGTTATGCTATTTTCATTTCACCTGTGCGTAACTATTAGCAGTGATTTATTTGTTAAACTTTACAAATAGTAGGATATTGAAAATATTTAACAGGATGGCAAATACTGATTTATTTATTATTTCCGTCGGTTTCAGAGTGAAACTGCTCACGAACAAGACTCCACACTCCACAAATCAAGGCAAAAATTATGTGGGCTATCAATATAAAAGAAGCAATAATTATGACAATTATAGCAGCAGGTACTCTGGTGGTTTTTCCTCGAATTCCCCCGAAACCATAAAAGTGTATGAACCAAGGGAAGACCCGCGACTATTCTACCAATCTGATTCGTATATTAAAGAGAGTAATAATAAAAATATAAACAGGACAGTATCAGAGATATATCCTGGGCGAGAAGTAGTAAGGCCAGACGAATTTCGAAGTCATTCGTTACCAATATTCGCTGATGAACGAAATTCCAACTTAATTGACTCGGGTACGCAAAAAGTATTTATTTGCTTATTTTTTAATGTTACATTAGTCGTATGTTTTCAAAATTAATTTTAATATTTACTTATTTGAAAACTTTAATTTCAACAAAATATACATAGCCGAATTGTACGTAATAATATCGTAAAAGTCCATAACATAATTCTATCAAGAACCTTCTTTACCTCGTTCCAGTTATGAGAGCCTAATATTGTGAAAATCATATCTATGAAAATTATTTGAGCATCAAGGAGATAGGATCTCCTTTGCATCATAAATTATTTAAAAATGCGTTTCTTTGGAGTTGTATTAGGATTTCGATAATAGTCGTCCAAAATTTTGCTGTCGGAGATATAGTAGGATCTTAAATAATTCAATAAATTGTAGGTTTTTCTATTTAACAGGCTTCAACAATTTTTGTATACGATGTCCACATGACAGAACAATAATAGCTAAGCCAGGATCCGATAGGGTTATGCTGCAATCACCTACTTTGTTAACCTGTTCCGGCTTAATTGCTCCAAAAGAAGCGCGCTTCTCAACCGTTTATGGACCACAGTTTGGAGCCTTAATAGAAAATGGATCACATATGATTATTGGACGTATTTCATACGGAAGCAAAGTGAGAGCAATGCATTTCTTTACATTAGTTATTGTTTTAATATTCTGTTTAAATTATAACGTCGAACGTCGACAACACTTGTCGTTAAGTCGAAAAAAAAAGTTTATTTTACGCTACGTTGTATTTTTAACAGAATGTCAAAGCTGAATTTATGCTCGTGCTCGCATATATTTGTAATCTGTCTCGTTAGATTATAAATTGTAAACTCTCGAGGTTTATTGTATATGAAAAATTTTGCATTAACAATTCTATATTTGATCTGGGGTTGCATTTTTCTTTAAAAATAATTGTCGGGATATTACATATAATAACTTTAGTAGGGTTGTAGACAATGTTGCCATTTTTCGTTGAAGGTCTATCTATATTATCAATACCTACCTAAATATTGATTACAATCAAAATTAATTAGTTTTTAGCACTTGCATTATGGAAATCTGAAACAACTAAGATACGTCTGTAGATTACTAGCTATATTCCTGAGACTCCGCGCGCTTTAATTTCAGTTTGTGTCACCCACGCATGATGTAGCTTCCCGTGAGTGAATGAATTTTTTAAATCTATGCAGCGCGCGTTGTTTGACGAAATCGAGAACGTTTTGTCTACACTAAAATATCACTTTTCTCGGGTGCGTCCTTACGATAACAGACTGTGTAGACAAAGCGTTTCTCGAGTTCATCATAATACGTGTGCATAGGAATTTCAGAGCCTTAATGCAAATATACAATCAAACATTCAAATTTTTTCTCTTTATAATATTAGTATAGAAATATAAATCTAACGAAGTAATATTTTAGTACATACCTATTTTCAGATTCTGAAAATGTGTAAAATGCAAGTGCACGTAATGTTACACGATTGTCCAGTACCTAGCTATTTGGTTTCCCGTTGTGACGAGAAAAATAAATTATGCAAGTTCACGTGTCGAGATCCAAGTTTAGAGTTGCATGGACAAACATCACTATCTTGCGGTGATAAAGTTAATGGAATGTGGAATGGAAAACTCCCTGTATGCAAAGGTAATTAAATAAGGTAGTGCTAACCTAGTCTAAGATGAGCCGCTATTTTTGTAAAAAGTAAAATTAAAATATATTTTAAGGCGAACATCCACCTTGTACGCACGCACGGTACGCAAGGGTTTTTGCATAGCTACGTAAATATATCACCTTGTATAGCATTGCGTCCACTTTTTGATGCTAGGAAATGCGTTACGCTCTCCCTCCTAACGAGGAGTCGGTGGGTTATGTGGGATTCTCCCCTGCGAACCCAACCCAGAATGGGGCTAGTGAAATAGCAGGAGCATACCCACTGTTGGGGATGCTCAGTTCCGCATCTCCTATTCTTGACGAGGGGCAGTCTACCCCCCACTCTGGGGGTGGGACCGCAGGAGAGAGTCTCACATAACTCGTGGATCTCACGCAGCGTGAAGTAGTAGTATGCATAACGCATTTTCTAGCGTCAAAAAAGGGACATACCCACTAAAATCAAGCGATGTTGGTGAGTATTAACGACTACGCGTGCATTCGGGACAAATGACTTTATGAGCTTTCTGAATCACGGGGGTGTTCGAGATAATACATTTTTGGTTACCCTTCCTATCACCGGCCATTACGAAAATTAGTTAACCTCCATATAGTAGAGCGAACACGCTAATCACTCAACGTCATCGAGCTCCTCGGCCACATTCAAATGTATTCTAATATTTTAAGCATTCGACCGATACTTCGCTACCATACGAATACTTCATTCGAGGAATCTAATTACTAGGTAGGTACATATAGTTGCAATTAGTTCTAATTTCTAGAGCGACTTTTAGTTATATATAATATAATATCTAGTCTGAATAAACGATATGTAAATGAGCTGATTTTCGATTTGCTCGAAGAAATAAGGTGAAAAATCCAACGCAATTCATGAGCCGTTTGAATAACTTCAAATTTTTGTGTAGGTACCATGTGCACGTTAAGTGAAATATTGTAAGACAGTAATAAATAAGTGATATTAATAATAATTAAATATTGTTTCCTAGTTCGAAGCTGGTGTTTAGCGCCGACGCCACCAGAACATGGACATCTCAGCTGCAAAGGGACCACCATTGGTGGTTCTAATCTATCAGAAGGGTCCATATGTCGAGTCCACTGCCCACGCGGCTGGCACTGGAGCCCGAGGGCAGCCACCGTGTGCAGAAGAGGAGCTTGGACTTATAACCTAACTTGTCAACTGAAGAAAAGGCGACGCCATTGATGTAAAATTGTAATAATAAGAAGAAATTATAAAAAATAGGAATCTATGTTAATTTGTTAAAAAGAGTATTAGTAATCATTATTTTTGATAAAAATTTGCAAACACAATGCCATAAATATCGATATTTTTATATGTTAAAGAAACAGTAAACTTACTCTGCTATTCTATAATAAAAACTCAATGTCGAGTATAGGTATCACAGAACATATAGAGAGATGTTCTGTGATAGGTATGGAATTTAAAGGATTTTGATCTATCTTATACATGCGTCTAATTAACTATAACAATTATAATTAATTATATTCAGTTTTTAGATAAATTCATTTGCATTTTTTTTTAAATTAATTTGATATTTTTCCGAACAAGCACTTAACTAAATAGTTAACAACTGTCTGTATTTTTAACACCCTCAAGCTAGGGTTCTAAAACTGCGTGTCACGGCGTCCTGGGGCACTATAGTAAGTACAAAGGGGATAATTAATTAATAAGCCTACAGATTTTATACGACAGATTAATGGGCCGAGGTGGCCCCATTAACATTTTTATCGAAATCGAATCAGTAGTTTTCTTTTTATAACAAAACAAAATATGCCTTACCCCAGATATCACCTAAAAATCTCAATAACATGTTTATTTTGAAAAATAAAAAGCTTCTTCGTATTTTATATGAAAGTTTATATAATTTTATAAAGTTTATTTATATTTAACTAAAGTATTTAGGAACAATTTAAGGTTGTTTGATAACTTTTTGCCATCTTGTAGGTAGGGATATGATCCCATTGCTATAGAAATGGAACTTCTGATCAAAAAACCGCGATAAGTGGTTTTGGCACTAAAGAGACCGAAACAGGTGGAAATCTAAAGGTGCAAGATTAGGACTATACGTTACATGCATAAACACCTCCCAGCCAAACTCTTTTAATTTTTGCTGAGTGGCAAAATTAATGTGAGATCTAGCATTATAATGATTAAAACCACACCCCTTCTAATTATTAATTCCGGCCGCTTTCTCTCAACTTCTTTCTCTAATTTCATCAGTTATTCGCAGTAGAGCTCAGAATCCATGGCCTTCTTGACGGTAACAGCTCATAATTAATAATGCCCTTTCAATCCGGATCGACATGCATCTTTGACATAAAAATTTCCGGACTGAAAACGCTTAAACCAAATTGCATTGAGATCTCCACGTGGGCCCAGCTAAGAAAGCTGACTGGATTAGTTTCTTCTATTAGTATATCAATGTTTTAACACTGCCAATCCTCATTGAGACATTTACGCGGGCCCAGTGCGGTATGTTAATTGGATGGTTTCATCAACTGAGAATATATGTGCTTTAACACTACCAATCCGTATTGGGACCTACACGAAGGCCCGATTGGCTCGATGTTGAAGTAACTAGCGTGTTTGATCTGCGAATTGGATTGGTAACCAAATTTATTTATTTGTTACTAAGCCAGTGTGCGTGGCGCATACGATAAGAGAAGAAAAGAGAGTAAAAACTCGCCACACCCCACTGTGCCCCGCACCATCCTCCCACAACGCCTGTCTTGTTCCACCACGGTCAGCCAAATAAAAAAATTGATCACCCATCCTATTACTAGCCTTTATGAACATCGCTTAAATTTCGCAATTGCAGATCAAACGTTAACCACTTGTTAACGTGCACGCAAAACCGCAACACACACTTTGAAGTTCAATATAAAATTAATGATTAATTAGCATTACTAAAAAATTGTTTTCTTAGGTTTCTTAGCTCAATTTTACCGTCAAAATTTCGTAACAAATTAAATTTAACTTCATTTGTTGATATACTTTTAAACCCTTTCACAGTGACAACTGCTTACAACTGAATTTTTTATTACACGTATTTTCAAAATATTTACTATTACAATACAAAAGTTTCCACTTAGGTTATTTTAGTTAATAAATTTCATTAAGTATTTTTTTTTATAATGACAGAAACAGAGAATTTACTAACAACACATACATAAACTAAAAACTATTATTATATAAAAACACACATCACCAAAACACTTTCACACTGAAACTTTCTTACTATCACACTTGTTCACTTACATAAATATTCAACATACATAATCAAACACAAATTTACTAGTTGATTGTTTCACTTTTTAACTTTTTCTTTTTTTTTTCCAATATTTTCCTTGTAGTAAAATTAGCACAATAGTTAGCACATCGCGAAAATAGTCATAATTCCCGAGGGGTGGGTCATGGTGATCTGTATTTCAGGCTATCGCCCCTTACAGACACCAGTTCCTCACAAAGTCGACAGGCAATCTTCTTTTTGTAAATTGTGTTTAGTCAATAAACATGTAACCATGTTCCTGTATTTGTGAGGAAAATAAATTCAATTTTTATTATATTATTTATTATTATTTTTTATAATGGCAAGATAAAAGAACAATACACACGGCTTCTGTTGTGGCCACCTCTCTCGGCTCGGATTAGCTTCTGTACAAAGCAATGAAAAGTATAGTTTAATAGATATTGATAATGTCCATTTTTGTAATTACAATTTTTCGTAGTTGTAAGTCCTGCCTAATAGTATTAAGTCCATGCCCAACTGTAGCATAATATATTCTTGATACCTGAGGGTCTATTCTTTTAGTTCTCGAAAGAAAATTCTGAAAATTTCGTTTTATTATTATAATTTTGTAAAAATAATTTCTGTGAAGATTACCTGTACATCAGAGGCATACTTCCTCCGCTGGATCATAAATGATTGAAAAATGAGTGTCCTTTGAGACGTTAGCATTTCTTATAAGTTGTAGCATTTCGAAAATGGATGAAATTCCGTTATCAGAAAATCAGCTTCCAAGTGTCATGTTATTTCGTACGTGTAGTATGTGTGCTCCAGGGTCGTTAAACTCAGAACAAAGTATTAGGTTCTACAACGAAATAAGATGGTTAATTTAAATTGATCGATATCCGCATACGTTTGAATATAATATGTTATTTTTTAATTTAGTCTCATAATATGGACTTTAGTTGACCACTCACGCGTATAGATGGCAATAGTATCGCTATTATATTATTTAATTGAGTTGTCACAAAAGAACACTCATAAACTTTACTAACAATGACCTTTTTAGTTTAGTTTCATTATTATGGGCTACAATGTAGCCCTTCTTTATTTTTTTTTTCTATTTGGTACAATTTTAGCTCTAACAGAACTTCCATTTAATCTTTTCTTCTAAAGAATTACAGAAAACTTTAATATCGATAAATTTGACACAAATAAAACTACCTTTATTTTTATGAAATCGTTATCGTATGAAGGTACAATATTTGAAAAATGGTATTAAACACGTTTGAATAGAGTAACACTACAAATATATAAAAAAAACACTACCAAAAACGTTTTATTTAAAATGTCAAAGATTACAATTTAATGTCATGGTTTCTGAGCTGTGAACGTTGCGTTTCTGCTGTTTTGAAGTCTTAAATTCGTGCTTCTATGTAAATCCGTTGAGTCGAGTTCTCTCCTCCGGTAGTGCTACAATATTTGATTGTGAAATTGATTTATTTATTGTGAGATAGGACTCTTTATCACTTCCATAATGCCATCTGACAAAATGTGTTGTGTACCTGGGTGCTCTGAGGCTCGTGGTGGTTCGTAAATGAATTCCATTTAAAGATTCTATTGCTAAAACATTGTCTCCGTGCTTATTTCTACATAATTGTATTTCTCTCTTGCAGTTTCATGTCCTGTACTCCACTTGTTTCCTCATCCAAAACAAGAAACGGAGCGTTTCGAATCTTGGAGATCGTCTGTGGGTGGACATATACTAGATTTACCTGACGAATTTGTTTATAAATATCGTCGTATGTGTCATGCACATTTTGAGAAAAAATTTCACTGTCGGAACAATAGGCTTTCTAACATTGCAATTCCAACTCTGAATGTGCCAGGTAATTTTTTTAACGATATATTATCTAAACTTTAGGAATTACATATTTATCTTTTCCTCATTCCATTAATTTCGATTGAGATTGACTGCTATTTCAAACTCGTTATTGTTAGAGCCTAGGAATAACAGAGGTTTTTATACCTAGTTCCATAAATAATTTCGACACTGTCATTTAGCCATAATAATCTTTTCTTTTGTTCTGTTTATTCTGACGCTGTGTAAACTCTGCTAATAAACCACATCAGGGTTATGGGCGTAAAAATCCACCACGCTGAAGAATGTCTAGAGAGAATAGCGATAGTATGAGTACAGTCGCTGATAGAGGTGATTCGAGTTATAAGAGTGATTCGTATTTTGGAACTATGAGTAGTACACCCGTTATAGAGAAGCTTGACGGTAATTCAAACTATTCTACGTGGAAGTTCCAAATGGAAATGTACCTAATCGATGCAGACTTATGGGAGTATACGAGAGAGACTCCAGCCGTAAGTGACGTACAAGGTACAAAGAGAGATCAGCGGACTAGGGCCAAGATTTGCTTGATGATAAAGCCTCATTGTTTAATTCATGTCAAAAAGGCCTCGACAGCTAAACAAACATGGGAATCATTAAAAGATGCTTTTGAGGATAAGGGCCTAAATAATCGCTGCAGGCTGCTATCAAGACTAGTAGGTTACAAACTAGAGCGTTTTTCAACTGTTCGAGAATATGTCACTGCAGTAATGACAACGTCTCAGGAGCTGTCAGATCTTGGAAAAGAGATCGATGATGAGCTATTAGCTGCTTTGATTCTTCAAGGTCTTACCCAAGAATTTCAACCAATGAGATTAGCTATAGAGAACAGTAACATTCAGCTTACTACCGACTATGTGAAGACCAAACTTTTTCAAATGGAAGATACGTTTGCCGCTTCTACTTCCAAAGAACGAGACATGAATATTTCTGTGACGTCTGCACTTTTATCAAAACAAAAAGGCAAGAAGAAGCCAAAAGCTAAGAAGCTTCAATGTTTTATTTGTGGTGCTGCACATAAAGCGATCGAATGCCCTAACAATCCAAAGAAGCAAAAGGAAGCGTTACACACTTTTGCACTAGCTACAGCTGGAGATTCCGGAAACGAGGATTGGGTTCTCGATTCAGGAGCGTCGTCACATATGACTAACAAGAGAGAGTGGTATAAGGACTATAAGAGTATAGACCCTATAACAGTGACTTGTGCTAACAATACAAAAGTGTATGGAGAAGGAGAAGGTACGGTAGTATGCAATTCATTAGGAGGAATGTCAGTTACTAATGCTATGTATGTTCCTAAGTTATCAACTAACTTATTGAGCGTAAGTACTATTGCGAAAAAAGGTTACATAGCAGTATTTGGAAACGAAA